TTTAAGAGCACTTGCCAAAAAATGCCTGCTTTTATTAAAAAGGAATGGTTTCACAAAGGCCCAACTGTAAGAAAGATTGTAATTTGCCCAAATAAAACTTAATTTGATCCATGAAATAGCTGTGGTTTATTGTGTAATATATGTGCTATGTGTTTTAATTTAATAGAACCCAATATAATTGTAAGCCAGTTTTGTTTTAGAGCAATTTTGGGTTGTTCCCACAGCGTATATAATACAGATGCTACTTTGTGCATCACACCAGCACACGCATAAATCGGGAACATAGGAAGGATAATCCGCAACGCAGCAAGCGATGCTTCATCATGCACCAAACGGGAAGTCAGACCTTTGAGGGCGACAGAAGAAGTTATCTACAGGAAATAACCCCGGATGCTCCGTAGTTAACCACCACATCTCAGGCTCCTGGAGCCAGTCTTGGGGGACAGTGGCTGCAGGGACCAGCCCTGGGGTGTCACCCAGCAGCAAGCGATGCTGCAGACCCCATTGCAAGGCCAGATTGAGCAACCCAGTCCACCTCAATCAGGGGCAAATGGAGAAGAATCTCTGGTTTTGCTTTCTAGGAAAGTTGTGATGAGTATTGGCCAACTGTCAGACCAGACCCATGCTCACCCACAAGGCAGCTCCTGCTCCCAAACAGCTCAGACAAGGGACAGGAGGGACACGATGGGGCAAAGGCACCAGGGATCTCTATCTCATCTTCCCTCTCCAGCCACCCCACACCCAGTTTCTGGCAAAACAGCTTAAAAACCAGTCAGGGCAACTAGGTAGCAGCAGTTTCATCATCAGCCCCACTCACCAAATTCAATAGCTTGACACCCCAGGAAACACAAGGCACCAGGAGCTGCTTTCACAGCCCCGTCCCCACAGCAGGCTCCCTCCGCAGGGCCACCTACTTGTACAAGATATTTGATTTTTGGTAATGGTTTTCATCAGGGAAAAAGCCCATTCTCTGTCTCCTGAGGCTCATTTCATCCCCCTCTCCAAGTCATAAGGAGAGCAGCAGGTCCCACCATGCAGCTGTCCCTGACCCAGGACCACGCCATGTCCTGGGCAGCTGTTAAAGCTCTTACACTCCTGTCCCAGCCACTGGTGGGTGCACCACCAGAGCACAGAGCCTGAGCCTGCAGGAGCCACTGGAGCTATGGGAAGCACAGGTATGTGTGTGGACACTTCAGCAGCTGCTGCTGTTAAAAACATTAATTCACATCCCAAAAAAAAAGAGCTGGACATGTCCCACCACTTAAAGACCACGAAGTCAAGCAGTGTCATACCTCAAAACAAACCTCCAGCTCCTTCTTCTGCTCCAACAGTGATATTTTGGTTTTCCTTTTTCCCTGCTAGCCCATGCACTGGAGACAATATTCAGCTTTTAATTACGCATTGAACAAGTCTCTCTACACTTTTACTCTGGAGATAAAATCCTGAGAAGGTTTACAGACCCTGCAGAATTGTGGCAAAACCTGCACCACAAAGGAATCTTAGTCTCTCTTATAAAGAAAAGTTGGATACGTTGGGGGTTTTTTTCAGCACTTTTTTCTATTCTGCCTAGTAAAAAGTATTTCTCAGTCATAGTAGCAAGGAACATCAAGGAGAAGGATGATGAATGTCTTCTTACAGGAAGAGCAGCCTCTGGGACCTACCAGCAGCTTCTCATCAGCCTATTGCGTAGGGGTTTATAATGTAGTATTACCCAAGTTAAGAGGACCTTGTCAAATAAGCACAATCCACAAATCAAAGCCCATAAGTACTCAGGGTCCAATGCCAAGGAGAACTACTAACTCGGGATTTCCACTGGAGTAGACTTCAGGTCTTTGGCACAGGGAAGCCAGAAACAGACCATGCAGCCTCCCATCTCCTGGTTGCACCCACAGCACCACAAGGAACCAGCTCACACCTCTGGCAATGCTTCAGCACACACAGAGAAGGGTGTCCAGCAAGTTTCACAGCCCAAATACCACTTTAGAACATCTCCGTATCCCACCACCTCCACAAATGATCCATATAAAGCAGCCACAGTGAGTCAAGACCACTCATCTCAGGCTTTTCTGCAGAATCAAGATCTTAGTCCTCATCGACAAGGAGATCTGAGGGCTGTGGTCTGGGGAAGCTCCACCTGGAAAGGAGTCACTGCCTCGGAGGGGTGAGACTCACCAGCTTAAGATCACCTGAGGCACCAAACCCACGCAACGCCCCCATCCTACAACAAAACCACCACCCCTCTGTGCAGATGACTGATTAGTTGGAGCAAACTCCAAGGTCAGCACGTTGCTAAAGCGCTTCAGCACAGGTGGGCGGGTGTGTTCACTGCCCACCTCTCCTCTGACCATGCAGGGATCAGTAGTGCTACAGGGATCCTGCCATGCTACAGCATAGTGGCAAGCTCCTTCGGCAGAGTTTGACCCCCCTGAAGCAGTACAATGGGTGTCCCAGGGGAAGAAAAAAAAAAAGAAAAAGCCACATAGGAGAACACAACTACAGGGAATAAAATCCAAAACCCAGCGCTTCCTTGCTGCAATTCCCAACGCATTCCTTCAGAAACCTCCCGAATTATATTTGGTGATAATGCAGCCACACATACAACCCCAGGACAGAGCCAACCCAGCTCCAAAAGCCCTGCAGGAGCCACTTCAGGGCACCCAGAACAACCCCAGGAGCTCAGTCCAAGCACAGCCCAGGCAGAAAGAGCCCATCACGCTCCTGCCAAGAAACACCTTTCATTTCTGCCCTTCAGACCACAAACAAAGAAAAAAACATAGAATTCATCACTTACCTTGCACATCAGAAGATCATGACTGTTCCAGGAAGAAAGAACCACACTCGGGGAACACCAAAACAACACTCAGAGGGCTGTGTCCGTCTTGTTTTTATAGGGGCTGGGGCAGACGAGCAAATACCAGCAGCTGTGGGTGTGGGCACATGAGAGCCCCACCGGCTCGTTAGCAAACCCTAACGAAGCTCAGCTGCTCCTGCAGACCCTGGCAGGGAAATCACTGTTCTTTCCCTGATGAGAGTGGCCACCACCTGCAGCCACACCAGGGTTCAGCTGAGCTTTGTGAGGGTCCCACGTGGAGTTGAATAGCTTGGCAGTCCTAAAGCATCTTTAAAGGGTCCCAAGGTTGAATGCTTACAGTAAGGTATTAAAGGGGAGAAACAGGATAGGAAATACTTCATGTCTCATTTCATTGCCTCACTATAAGATCCTTTTTTATTCTCTTTAAAGCTTTGCCGACAAGTGAAATAATAACTCCAGATTCATTCCTGGGGAAGCACATGAATAATAAATCAAGAAAACCTAAAACCAAAAAAATAAAAAGTTAGGGAAAAACCAAAGGCACTTAACTTGAGTTTCCATGAGCACCGAAACAAGGTCTTTTGTGGGTGGTATAAAGTGAACAGTATCCATCTCTGGTGCCGTTTGGTCCAAGATATGGAAGGAGGTGGTAGGAAGTGGAAAATGATGGCACTGCCCCATCCATGTGTGCATGTGAGGAGGAGGACAGAGAGGAAGGCAGCAGCCAGCTCAAGATTTGAAGGCAAAACCTTCTGGAGGGTGGTGGGAATTTAAGGGAACGGGGAGAAGCAGCTCAGCTTTTGGCTGGTTATTCCCAGTTCAAATGAGGACGGCGTTAACAAAAATATCTTAAAAAACACACGAATGGCCTCTTGACCAACTGCATGAAAGCGATACGGTGAGGTGGCATGCCAGGGCACACCAAATGGGATAAAACAATAAATTACAAAGCTCTTGAAAGCCGGCTTTCAGTGACAGTGACGTGTTTTGACACCGTTCCCTGATGACAACAGCTGTAACGCAAACAAAAATTAACGATGCCAAGTATTGATGCTGATGCTGCATGAACTCAACCAACGTGGTCCCAATTAGATACCAAGGATGGGTTACGGTTTGAAAAATTATTGTGGAAACATCACTGTGACACTCCCTGCTTGTGTCTCTCCCCGACGTCCACCTCAGGTCTGCGTGTTTCCCTGCCAGGATGCCGTCCCCACCTTCCTCATCCTCGCTCGTGGCTGCTCTAGAAGCACCAGGTCCAGTTGCCAAAATGCATGATCCCAACAAGCACCAGGAGAGCTTTTTAATTTTATTTTCTATTTTACTCTCTTGAGTTCTGAGCCATCGAGGAGGTCTCATCGCATGTTTTTCTCTGTAAATATGAGGGCCACAAAAATATTTTCCGCTTAGTGGCCAGCCCAGCCCTAACGCTCGACAAACTGAAAGCTCAGGTGCTTCTGCAGTCACAGGACTCCTGAGACCAGGACTTTGTGAAAATCAAACGTGCAGGGTTTTTTTAACACAACTCTAAGACTTGGCGACGCAAGTTTTCTACCCAAGCGAAGCCAGACAACGTCCAACCTGCTTGTGCAAGCGCATGGGTGCTACAGCGCTGACAGCAACAGAGCTCTTGCAGAAATCCGCAAAGTGCCTGGTTTTATCCAGGATTCCCAGAGAATAAATCAGCCAAGACAAGCTCATTTGACCAGGACTTCTACTGGCTGCAACTGCTCCTCAGAGCAAATTACTCTTCCCAACCAGTTCTGTACCAGTTTATTACCCAGACGACAGACTGGGAGATCTACCGGGCAAACCTGCACCCAACTTGTCCAACTCATCTCTGCCTTATTTCATGTTCTTGGCGCTGTTCCCAAAATTCAGGGCACGCTACGGTGTCTCCAGCTTAGAAATCACCCAACCATGAGCTGCCCAAAACCACCATCAGGAGATTTCCCTCTTGCTTCTCGTTTGCTCCCTGGCTCTCAAACTGCCCTCATTTACCTTTCCCTTGGAGACAACTGCAGCCTTCCAGCAACTCACGTAATTTTTATTTTTCTAGGGGTGCTGGCTGAGAGGGGGGACAGTGGTCCCCCCTCTAGAAACCCCCCCCGACAGTGCCCAAGCAGCCACTGCTACGGACTTCAGTCGGGGGGGGGAAAAAAAGACAATTAAATCCCCCCCCTATAATGCGAATACTTTATTATCAATGAGTGACTGGTATTAGCTTTTTGTCTGGGTATTAATAATATTTCAAAAAACCATACATCAAAATTAGGGCTTTCTCCTATTTTTGCTGTATAATTTTTCTTTTTTAAAAAAATCTGTATTGAAAGAATTATATAAGCCAAAGTGCATTTTCTGTTTTTTGTCCATATACACATTGCACCATACATAAATAATTACATTGTAAAAATGACTCCATAATTACAAGTATAATATATATTTTCATATAATATATAAAACTTTATATTAAATCTAGGTAGATGATATTTGGGATAGTCTGTGTCTTTTTTTTTTTTCTTTTTCCTTTCGTCAGAGGCTGACTGTTATCGATTGTTACTGAGTAAAATCTCCAGCCAACAAGGACACGACGTGATAAACTGTCTCGAGTAACACGGCCCCCAGCCTTTGGCGAAGCTAATCCGGACGCTGTTGGGGTCGTAGGGCCCGTCCGCGTAATCCAGATCGGCCGTGTGCTGCAAGAGGCAGGACTTCTCGTAGTCAAACACCTTGATGGAATAGCCCGGCATCACCTTGCGCACGATCAAAGTCCTACAGTTGGGGATGTCCAGTGTCGGGGAGTTGACGAAGATGGGGTGCTCGCTGCGGTTGTAAGCCCACACACCGTCCGGTTCTTTGCTGAGTAAAATCCCGTAGCCGATTTTACTTCGAGTCCTTCTCACAGTCTCACTCCTGTTTTCCAGGTTTAGCTGTCCGAGGCAGAAGCCGTTTCCTTGAGGTAGGTCATAAAATATACTGACAGACTGTTCGTACACTGTGTAGAGGCGGCCGACGCGCGTCCGGTGCTCCCAATAGGCCACGTTGCACCAATGGCTCCTCTTCACGGCATCGGGCGACGTACTGGCATCTGCAGGGGAAAGCAGAGAAGAGTCAGGGTTTGCTGTGACCACCTGGGAAAAGACAGGTCCGGAGGGCAAGCAAAGGGCTGTTCCCATCCCTCAGCTTTGTTCACGTGGGAACTCAAGTCGTGTTCAACCCAGAAGTTGTGTTTGACCCACAGATCGACTCAACCCAAAGCTCATCTCCAACCCAAAGCTATCTCCAACCCACAGCTTATCTCCAACGCACAGCTCGCCTCCAACCCACAGCTCATCTTCAGTTATGTCAAACGTCACCAAGCAAGAAGGCTCAAGCAAAGCCTGGTGACCCAATGAGCCACTCTCCAGCTCCCATGGACCTCAATGCCTCTTTCTCTCTCCCATTTCATGTTCGAATCTGTGGCCAGCAGCTGGGACCCTGAAGACATGTGCATTTCTACCACCAGGAGCTGGCACGGGTATTTTACCACTGCAACTCAGCCACCCCTGAGCTTGGTGGGTCCCCAAGCTCCTCCAGCACTGCTGTGGTGGTGCACCCCCATTTCCAAAGGCGAACCTGTGTTGAGCTGAAACACAAGGGAGGTCCGTGAAGTGCTTGGGTGAGTGGCCCGACAGTTATCTCTGCTACGTAATATTCTTTGATAGCAATGCTGATGTTCCCAGGGGGAACGTGAAGTCTGAGGAGGCATTTCACGCCAAGGGGGAGTAGTTGCTATAAACTATCCCTGTCCTCTTACAAGGCCACTGGAACTCTCTCCAGAACAATGAGAGATGTCTCCTCTTTCTAGGAAATACAGTCAAGGAAGACAGGAGGGATGCAGACTGCCAGAAATCTGTTGAATTTATGATGCCTCCGGAATTTACGATGCATCCAGAAGGAAGATGGGAACTCTCAGCCCTTAACGAGCCCCAGCGAAGGCGAATTAACCTCTTGCTGAATTGCTCATACCACACTGCTGAACAGAAAACCACCCTGGGATTTCAAGCAGGGAGCTCTGCTTCAAGCCAGCCCTGTTCCGCGCCCAGCATTAAGCTCCCTGACAATATATCACGCGCCCGCGGCCCGCTGACCCCTCCGCCTTCGTGCCATCACGTCCGATTAACTCGCACGCGGGGTGATGCCATTATTTTGCTTCAGAGACCCTATTGATGCACCGGATTTCAAGCGCAGCCCTACAGCCCCGTTTCTTTTCAGGCTCAAATTACCCCGGAGGCGAACGGGCTCTCCTCCCCATTAACCATCTCGGAATTAAGCGGCTTTGTTAGAGTTTAACTCGAGTTGTAACTATACACATTTAAAGGCAGGAAAGGGGGGGCCGTGGGCAATGCTCATCGTTTTGCAACCACCCCTTCACCCGTCACAGGACTAAACCCCCCCCAAAATGCCAGACTGGCCCCTTTTCTCCTCCACCATCTGCCTACATAATTTTTAGGACGCAGCACGGCTGCCAACAGCCCCTTTTCGGTTTGATGTGCATTTTATCCAGAACTGGGAAGGCAATCCCGCAGCAGTCAGGCACTTCAAACCCTCTGGGAGAAGAACAAACATTTCCCTGCGTTTACGGCAATGCCCCATGGAGGAGTGAGCTGACCTCTTCGCGTCCTTCAACACCGGAGGCGATGTCCTGGGCCTCCTCCTAAAGTCATGGGAAAAGCCCTGCTGAGCACAACTGAGGAGGATGGGCCCCTTAAATTCAGAATTAGTAGCTCTGCACAGCAGAGAAATGGGTGAAGACCCTTGGTCAGAGCCAATGGCAGCATTCCAGGGCACGGTGAGTCAAACTTAGTCCCCCAAGGACCAGGTCTTGTCTCCCAGCAATGGGATGGGACACTCCACCATGTCCCAGTGGCACCCATGGGTCTCCACTAACGACAATAACCAGCAAACCCAACGGTTTTACTCCATTCTTACTCTTTGGCTGATAACTGTATGTCCTTTGCCATCCCAAATGACCCGCCTGCATCTGGATTGCCAGGAGTTAAAGCACATTGTTAAATACTGACAGCTGGACTTGAATTTTCTTGAAGTATTCCATGATGGCTGGCAAGGCACCCTCCACACAAACACAAAGTTTTTGGGAAGGAAGAGAAAATTAAAATGTAATTCTAGATTAGAACCCGCCGCAGCTGCTTAGGGCCAACATGACGCTCTAAGATCTCCACCAAGAACAGAAACTTTGATGAAACTGGTGATAAAAAATTTCAGAACCTCTTGGCGGTATTTCTGCAGAAGTTGCAAAAACGATCAACAAAGTTTTATGGCATCAACACAAATCTGACCCAAACGGCTGTATTGAATTGAACGTTACTGAAGCAATTAGCTATTTTCGTACAACCCCCTGAAATCTTAGCAGAGATGAGAATCTTTTGACCTTCTCTGGGAGCATCCTTTAGTCTACCACCATGCAGACGGTCTGTGCATTCCGCTCTTTAAAATGCGCTACGGCGAGCAGTTCCAGATTTCAAGAGGTGAAACAAGTTCACAAACGACACAACAGCAGGAAGAAGAGGTACTGAGCAACCGAGCTCCATCCGCAGGTGCATCTTCCACAACGTGCAGTTCCCAGTTATCTTTCCCCTGGATCATCATACAGTTGAGAGGCCTCCAGTGCCTTTCCAAAACTCTTCTCAAATACTAAATTTTGCTGCTGTCCCACACGAGTGATGCTGGGGAGGGCTATAGACAAGCTCGAGAACTTTTCATCTGCCAGGCCCCAGAGGCTGGTAGCAATTACTGAGCTCTGCATCTGTTTAACCTCCCAACCTCCACAAAGTCTTCCACGCCCATTAGGTAAGTTGGTTTTGTTATTACATTTTTTTAGAAACTACCACTCGGCCCCCGAATTTCCCTTACAGACTAAGAATGGGACAACTTCAACATTCCAGTTTCCCCATCAGTGGAATTAATTAGGGGAACAGTCAGTAATAAACATTTAAATTGGTGTTCCCCATGGTTTACTGCAAATTAACATACCTAGTGGGGGAAAGCAAAGCAGGAGGAAAACAGGATCTACTCTGTAAGAACATCACGCTGTAGGTGCCACCACTCCTGGCGCCATCCCTGCTTTCCAGGAACTGGCAAATATTTTGGCAAAATCATCAATCTACACACACGGTGAGAACAGAGGAAGGTTTTTTTATACCTCCTGCATCTGAAAAAGCCTTATTAAAACTGCTTCCATGAAACACACGGCATGAGCTTCACTCCATCCACCCATCCATGCACGCACCTTGGGAGGGACATACCCTTCCTGCCAGTGTGCTCCTTATCTCCGTCACCCCATCCCAGGCAAAGAAAACACCCCAAAAGAAGACGGTTAAAAGGCTCATCTGAAAATCCTCTGCCTCCAGAAAGTCTTCGGTGGGGTCTCCCTTCTCCCCCAACCCCATCCACGGCCACCCTTGCTGGCTGCCCCGCTCGCCGTGTTCCTTCACCTCCTTTTATCTCCCAGCGCGCTCAACCAAATCCGGAGAAGATGAACTCATCCCGCAGCCCTGACATAAAGCAAGCACTTCAGCAAGCCCCTGATAGAGGGGGGCCTGTGCTGTGTCTTATCCCCTGCCAAGGATTAGTTTCGCCTCCAGCTATTAGCCACTACCACTCAGCAGAGAACGGGGGCGGCGGCAGAAAAGCACGTCCTCTGCCTTTTCAATAAATATTCCATCTTTTCCTCCACTTTTTCCACCGCTGCCCTTTGTGCACAGACAAGAAAACCCACTTTTTTTTCTTCCTTTGTTCCCCCCTCCCCTTTCTGCTGGAACAGAGGCAGGCTTGTTAGCTCTCTTTTTGAAGAAAGAAAAATATTTTAGTCCTGCAGTGCCTCCCTCGATGGTATACGACGCATTTTTAACAACTACCATTGTAGGCAGCTACAACTTCTAACAGCTACATTTAGGCTGGCGTCAGGGCTATCTCTTCCATCAAAGCCACCTTTATTGATCAGATGGAGGGGCTGAAACTGGCTCTTGTTTACTTGAGTCTCCCGAGCCGCCGTTTCCTCCTCGCAGCAGACACATCCAAAAGGAAATTCAAACAATTTAAGATTAAAAAAACAAGATAGGAAGGCAAGACGGAGAATCAAAACCAGAACTTCACGGGAAAAGTCCTGCACGGCTCAGGCAAAAGGAATCTGGGTATGGGAATAAATGCAAGGAGCAAATACTATAAATCCTCACAGTGTTAGCAGCACTGCTGCTTTTCCTCCCTGCAGGGTGGGGAGGTAAAGAAAATAACTTCGGTTTTAGATTATTTGTGATTTGACAGCGGTTTATGCCAATAAAGTTCAAAGCAGTGCATTAAAAGAGAAAAGAAAGATGCTTTTATTTTTTCCCCCAAAACAAAATGCTGCACAGTCCCACTGCTTGATGTTGCACTTTAAAAGCTGGATGGAAAACATGGGCAGATCACAAAACACATGAAGCATTTCTGATTCATTTTTCGGCTCCTCTGAAGCCACCAAACCTCTTCTCAGCAGGTCAGACGTCCCCACCATACACGGCTGCAAGTGAGATCTTGCTGCGTGAGGCTGAGAAGGGAAGTTTGCTGCGGTGCTTTGAGGAATATTCTTATTTTTGCATGGACTTCCGAGGAAACAGTCCCAAGCAGCATCGTGCTGTTTTTCCAAGGGATGGCTGATGCCAATCCCTGCTTCCCCACCTAACCTCCAAAAATGCTCAGTGCAGACCACGCACATGAAGAAAAACATCTTTTCTTGACAGCCAGCACCTTTCCATTCGGTTTTATCCCACTTTAGGCTGCCATTAGATACAAGTTCAGTCTTTTTTCTCCCTTCTGTTGTAGCACGGATGCATGCCTGTACTACCCAGCACACAGGAGAATGGAAGCAAGATGGTTACAGACATACACACGTTCCTGCCAACAAGGGCCAGATAAAAAGCCCAGCAGAAAGAACACACACATTTCCCCCAAATCTTTTAGTATTTCACCAGGAAGCCACTGGTTAAAATAATCTCCTGTTTATACACTTAGAAACAAGCTCAAGGGTGAGGAAGGGGTTAAAGCTTTCTA